TCCTGCCAAGACCTAAATAAAAAGTAGCCTGATATCGTTTTGCCCGAGGGGTCAATATTTAATATTGTCGTTTTTTCCATATCTCACAGAGTATATCACCTATAATGGTTTTTTGCCCTCATCTTTCCCCCCTCGGAGATTATTTTTGTAGTTCGCACCCTAGAAAGATTTTCAACCTACCCTGAACCTTGGAGCCCAGCATAAGTCCCTTAATCATAAGCACTTAAATCGCAAAAATCGCTCTGCGATTTTCGCTTTCCTAGCTTATTGGAAAGACTTTGCTTTTGCCCCAAGTCGCAGTCTAGATTAAATCTTTGTTGAGCGAATTCTCAATCTCCGCGAGAAAAGATTACCCGTCTTAAATGTCCGTTGTTTTTGCTGTCTAGGACTTTGTCCTAGATTTTTTTCTTTATAGGTTGATTAATTAGATTAAAATATTTTCAATAATAATCCTTACCTAATCTTTTCTTTTCGTTTATAAAGTAATCTAATTTATTATTATGATACGCACTCACGAGCAAGAGACAATCATGACAGTTCCTATTCGGATGTAATGATAGTGGTGGGATGTTTGCTTGTTTGGCGTATTCTCTTTTATATTTATCCACTACGAATATTCAGTTATATTTTCTTGCTCTAATCATGGTAATATATGGTTAATCCAACAGTAATATAGTTCCTTGTTATATCTAATCATCTTTCTTTTGTGCTGGTGGCTTCTGATGTTCGCCCAATCTAAACCACTTAACTCTTTACATCTTTTCTCCTCGGTTCAGTTTCACCATCAATAAAATCCGACTTGAATGATGATAATCACGGACGGATTAAGAAGTATCGCGTATAATGTTTGCCATTTAACCAAATTCACTACTGCTTCTATTCTGGCTTCTTGGGTTTCTTGATAAGGTTGATATAGTCGAGCCGAACCATCGCCATAACCAAAAGCAATACCACTATCCTCTTTAATACTTTCGCCCTCTACTCCTAAATCTACTGTGATAACTACACTGCTTTCATAGGTTAGCGGTCGCCCTAGTGCCAGGTCATTAAAAACAAATTTCCCCTCCTCGTTCGGTCGACAAAAACTAAAAACCCACTTACTCCCTAGCCGTTCGTAAAATCTTGTTTGTCTGGGTGCTTAAAAATAAACTTGCCCTGCTCGTTTTTCTCCTGAATATCTAAAAAATCAAATTGCCACTCCTGCTCCGCCACTTTTGGCAGAAATTTTTTATAATAAATAATTTGCTCGCCGACTGATAACTTATAAAAAGTATCAATCCTATCCTGTCTAATAATGGTCTGAATTCAGTGCGATTTATTACTGGGGTCAATCTTTCACCACCAACCATTATAAGGGCTGGGGTCTTTGGCGGTTATCTCTTGTCAACTTTTATTTTCCTCTAATATTCACAACTTATTTAATCCCTCCTCGTTTCATTGATACTTAAACTTAATTATTTTCATCATCTTTAAAATGTTGGTGATTTAGGTAATTTGAAACTAATAACCTTTCTCCCCTTTTCATCCTCCTCGTAAGTTATCTGAATATGGGCTATTTTGGTTCAGTTTTCTTTTAATCGCTCAAAGTCCTCATGAGTTAGTTTACCCCGAAAAGCAAAATAGGCGGTTGAATTATCCTCGTCATAGATAATATAATAATCTCGCCCATTTTTGTCTTGCCTTTCTGATATATTTGCGTTTTTTATTTCTAATATTTGTTCCATGCCTGTTATTTGCTTCTAATATTTAACTCCTCCAAATTCTCTAATATTTCCTTAATAATAATGTCCTTCTTAGGTTCGTCGATGGCTAAATTATAAGCCCCTAGTGTAGCGGGTAATTTATCTAATTCGTCAATACTGCCTTTCGCACAAGAAAAACAAAAACACTCCTGACTTTCTACCTCATTTCCTATCATCAGGCCTCATTTAAAAAATACCTTGGCTTTGCCTCGACAATTTTGACAGTCGGATGGAGCAAAAGTAGCAGTGCCAATATTTATCTTTACTTTTCATTGTTGGTCGAAAAGAGAATTTAATAAAGTTGGTTGTTGCCCGCCCTGCTTTTTATATTTCAAGTCTATTATTCAAGCCGTTTTCATAAGTTATTTTTTTTCCACTCCATCCATCAATTTTTTTATTTGGAACGGGC